GTGTCCATTTGGAATAGCACCAATAATGTATTAAATTCACTATCACAATCGTGTTGTTGTTGCTTTTTTTTTGTTCGTTTTTTCTTTTAACTCTTTTTGTTCCTCCCTCTTTTTTTTGTGCTCCTTTCAATTCCTCATAGTAATTTAACTTCAAATTGAGATGTGTTCACTTAACAATTTGTTCATGTTCATTTCACCTACATTTGGTTCCTTGAATTGTAACTTGTAAATAATTGGCGATGATCCAATTTTCATTTGCACACTTTATTTTTTTTTTTTAATCAAAAGCCAATCCAACCATCTCACGTGGCGGAGTAAAATGAAGAAGATAGGAAATTAGCAAGTCATTTCAAGATATAGCGCACGCAAATCGGCGTGGAATCACGTACGTTTGCATTTTGATTCCATTCAAATGATGCGTGCTTAGAACTGTCATTTCTATACACATGGCGTAATGTGTCAATATTTTCACTATGATCTGAGAATAGATTTGAATCACATCAAAGACATATTTTGTATGATTTGATGCGAAAATGAGTTGTAATTATTTCATTAGCTTAAGTGATGGGACTTTTGTTGAACGTATTGTGTTTAACGTAATGCAAATTTGTCCTACAGCCTGTAGTCTCAAGATTTCATTCGTGCCAAGGTATTTGCGTTGAATGACATATTTAGCTATTAGCTTTGGGAGTGAACATAATTTAATTTCTGCTGATGAGCTCCCGTTTACACGATAAGAACATAAATTATTTGACTAAGCAAATAAATGGCCACTGCACAGATATTATGTCATGCCAAAAACGATGGGAGTTCAGCGTCAATGTTTGCAACATTTTTATGTTGTCGAAAAAGAAATTAAACGCACAATTAGATTAAATCAATAAATCACATGTTCCTATTTCGGCGTCAGACTCTGAACTCAATATACCAAAGCTTTATGGTGAATGATAACGGGAATTATGGTGACTTTTTATGAGTATTTCAGTGGATAAATATGGGGCAGTAGTTCACAGTATTTTACTTTATTGGCAAAAGAAAATTCATTTATCGAAAATGTCCTTTTTCATTGAGTGGCTTGATGCCATTTAACGATTGTGGTTTATTTCTCCCTTAACCTCTGTACATCAACTATTTTTAATACTATAAATTATAAAATGCCATCACTTTTTCGTGTGAGTGTGAGAAATGTTTCTATTTTGTTGTATAGAAACTAAAACAACAGTTTAAAATTCGATAAAGAATTACTTGATTTGCAGAACTTGCTTGAATAAATGCAAAATAATTACAACGAAAAAAAAAATAAAAAAAAATAAATGCAATAGCAGCGATGAAAGAAAGATAATAATAATACATGCAAATGAGATAGGATTTATTCAAAGGCAAACTAGACACGTTTCGCAATGAAGTAAATGTATTTTGTTGTTTGTGGCGGAGTTTGCTCAAACGAATTTGAATGTATCTGTGCAACAGTTGAAAAAAAAATATAATTGCGCGTGACACGTGCATATTTGTCGATTTTTCTTTGTACACACAAAACAAACTTTTCCAAATTTAAGAATTTTTTTTTCTTGGATATGGAATAAGAACAAAATAGTCTTAATTCTGAAGTCTACCATATAAAATATAAGAAATGAAGGAAAGTTTCTTCCAAATTTAAGAATTTTTTTTTCCTAAATTTGGAAAAAACTTTTCTGAATTTCTTATATTTTATATGGTAGACTTCAGAATTAAGACTATGTTTTTCTTATTCCATATTTAAGAGAAAAAAAATTATTAAATTTGGAAAAGTTTGTTTTGTGTGTATCTTTCGGAATACTGAATTTTCTAATCATTCTATTTTCACCGCACTTTATAATCAATTCCGCGAAATAATATAACCGAAACCAAATAAAATACATAATTGAATCATGAAAATGTCGAGTGAACGTGAAATATATGATTAAATTGGTAAATATCAATTTGTAGTTGTTGCTTTTGAAATGAATCCTATGTTATGTGAGGATTTTTTTTTAGTAGAATGCTCTCTTGAATCTTTTCCCCCATGAAAATGAAGGAAAACCGTGCCTAATTGTAGTGAATCTATCTCTGTTTATTTGAGCAACATGATACTGAATAGAGAGTTATGTCAAAATGAAGACAAAAAAATAAACTCGAATCAAATACTAATGCTTTTTTTGTTGCTATAAACTCCATTTTCTAGTGCATTAAAAAAAAGTTCAAAGTTAAGTACATTTGCGAGTTGGTTCGTTATATAAAATAAAATATACATATATAGAAATTAATTTAAGCAAAAAAAAAAAAAACAAAATAATAATAATAATAAATAAGAAAACACATTGATTCGTATTATATTTCTGATATTGCACACAATGAAACACTATTCTATCCCATCAGGATGATTATAATCGTACGTACTCTCCGAGTGCGGTCATTTTCTTTCATTTTTCCCTTCGGTTTGACTTTTGACATGGAAACGATAGTTGTTCGAGCTCATCAAAATTGTCGAAACTTGACATTGATTCGTAAAAACAAATATATGCTGCAACTCGACACCGACTCGAGAACAAGTTACAACAACAAAATAAAATGTAACTACTTATTAGTGACTTAAATAATTGCACTTAAAAGAGAATGACAAAAAAAACATATCGTCCGATGGTCAAATAAAGTTTATTTTTGCCATTTATTGCAATCAAATCCATTATATCAACTATATCACTTCAGCAAAAAATGATGATTTTTTTGAAGATGTAATTTTTGTTTCTTCCTTCAAGTGTAGTCAAGTGACTTGCACTGGCCCGTGCGCGCATGCGAATGGGACAAAACTTAAATCAATGTTTGGAAAAAATCTGAACAATTTTTCTAAAAAAAAATTTTATGTGCAAAATTGATGCTTCTGACAGAATTTCTTTCGTCTGGACAACTTGTTCGTTGACACATTTAGACAGATACAGAGTGTGCTATCTTGCTGCTGAGCAGGCCTGAGTTAAGCTAAACTTGCGCCTACGCACTTCAACTGAAGCGTTATTTTACCGCATTTTTTGCAAATATCCCCATCTCAGTAGAAATATTGAGGATCTTTGCTAGAAATGAAAATTGTACACTGTGAATGCGTAAAATAACGATTCAACCGCCTGAATCAGTTAATTCAACTCAGCTCAGGCCTGCTCAGCAGCGGAATAACACTCTCTCGACGCTACTGAAGGCTTTTTCAATGTCAACGATTTCAGTGAAATCAACATTTTCGTCTACGAATTAATGAATCAAGCTGGGCACGGGCCTTTGATCCGCACTTATTTCGAAACTCGTGTATGGTGTTTTCATTGCAACATATTGTGTGCATTCATAGCTTAAGGACACTACTAAAAACAATTAAATCCAGGTGACTGGCGCATTGATATAAAAGTGATATATAAATAAAATTAGTGAAAAAAATTGATATAATTTGTTGTTGTTGTTTGTAAAAATAAAGTATTATTTCAAAGAGACAAAAAAAAATATAGTAATTCTATAAAGATACGGACTTTCTTTACTGGTTTTATTTTCTTCATTTTTTTTCTTCGCTCATTTTTCGGACGATGAAAAAATGAAATTTACTGGACAAAATAAAAAAACAAAAACGTAACAAAGCCCCTATATTCCGATCATCAATTTTAAACACGTTGTATATAATAATATAGAATACAAAAATAAAATCATGTAAAATCAAGGCAGGAAATAAAATGAACAATTCATAAAGAAAGAGAAAAAAAACTACAATGGTTATTTTGTGAACAAAAGGTCTCATTCAGAGATTGAATACGCGTACATAAATCATTTAAAAAAAAATCTATATATATTGCATTAATATTGAATTGGGTGAGTATTTGGATATATTTAATTGGTTTTGATTAATTGATTAATTATTCGCGTAATTAATTGCACATTTTCTTTTGCGTGTGTGTGTTTGTTTGTTTGTTTTTTTTCAAAGAGCAATACATGTTTTCAACCTTATGCATTCAAGAGCAGATCAAGAAAATTGCTGCTCTCTGTGGTTATACAGTGCTTTCTCAGAAATCTTAATCTTCCAGAAAACTTAAGTTTTCTGAACAAATTTTTTTTCCCGATAATAACGCACTAAAATAACAGGCAACATCAAAAATGTACATTATTCACCCTAATTCAAATCCATTTCAACTGTATTTGAGGTTTTTCAAACGACGGACATCCATATTTTGTTGAATCAATACGAAGATGCGATTTATGAGATGGCAAACTTGTACCGTAACTACAAAATGAATCGTTAAGATGATCACTTTGAATTTAATAAATAGATAATGTAATTTTAATCAAAACCAAATGAGTTGCGCGTGTTCAATTGAACATTATCGCTTTTGCAATCTGAAAAAAAATTTCTACGAATTTGTGAACAGTTTGATTCAGTGTCATGGTATTATTTGTTTGGATCAAAAATCCGTTAAAAATAACAAACTGTGAATACTGAATATTGCTGTGGAGTCAAGTAAAACAGCAACCAAAGTCATCTACATGTAAAATATACATACAAGTTGAAACAAAGGCTAATCGCATCGTTTGCTTAGGTAAAAACTAAATTGGCTGACTGATTGATATCAACATTGTATTTATAATTTATAAATTATAAAAACCATTTTTATGTTTTCTGTACATATCGATAGATTGATATTGTTTGAGTGTATAAAAAAAATGAAAATATCATTCAAAAATCTTAAGAAAAACTAAAGATTTCAGAACGGTCAATGGAAGCCGAAATTTGCTTAAGTTTTCTGGAAGATTAAGATTTCTGGTACTTAAGATTCCTGAGAGAGCACTGTAATCGTTATTTTTCTTTTAACAAACAAAATGAAAATCGTAAATGTGTTTGTGTATCAAATGGATCAAAGAGTGTGAACGTATTTTCACACAACACAAATGACATATGTTGTTTCTTTGTTCTGGACTTTTTATCGTTTTTCTTCTTCTTCTTCTTCTTCTTCTTCTTCTTTTTGTTAAAAAAAATGTATGTATAAAATTGATCTAATTATACTTCCACGCATACCCAAAACATTGATGGGATTTTCCGATAACCGAAAGTGTTTCATTGATCCGGTAGTCTATGTGATGTTGCTGCAGTTGCGGTTGTTGTTGTTGTTGTTGTTGATTGTATCATTCGGATGGTCCACTCTGTGGTTGTGACACACTGAATGTACCGGCTGCGGCTGCAGCGGCGGCCGCTGCTGCAGCTGCAACGTGCGATGCTATCGATGATCCCATTAAACTTTCGAATTTCCGTGAATCGGCCACTGCCGCTGCCAATGGTGTTGTCGCTGTGTCCATACCACCGGTGTTGCCCATTAAATTCTCAAATTTACGCGTATCTGGATTGTACATTGGATGCTTGAATTTGCAATGTGTGCGTAAATTATCACTTCGTGTGTAGGTGGCACGGCACAATGGACATTCAAATCGCCCCGGAAAATGCACGTGATAGTGATTGCGTATGTGTGTGACCACTTTTCCGCACAATTTGCACCGATGTAAATTGCAACCGCCGGATAGTCGCTCGAACGTGAGACGCATGTGCCAGGCCTTTGAGCCTGCGAACACAACAACAATACCCGATATTGATTGCTTAGAGTTTTCTTGATTTTTTTTTTTACTTGTGTATCGAATGAATTGATTGTATTTGTTTTGGTTAAAAAAAAAATTTGGTTTTGGTTTAAATTCATTTAACGCTTAGTCGTCTAATCATCGATGGGTTGTTTTTTAGTATTGTTTTTATTTATGCGTGTGTATAATACAATTATGTGTTATTTTGAAGAAATAAAAATGAGTGTATATAATTGAAAAAAAAAAATTATAAAGAAGAATAAAACAGTTCGCATGTTGCTTGTCTACTATTCAATTTTCTTGTCGCGTTCGCTTTCCCATTACTAGCCAAAAAATGAAATTATTTAGTTAGATATCGAACAAAATGTGTACAGTAGTTGGGTTATTTTTGCGTTAATGCACGAGAAATTTTTTGGTTTGTTTGTTTTTTTCTTCTTCTGCAATTGTATTTAGTTACAGCTTTATGCTAACAGTGCATCTAAATACGGAAAATTCGAGTACCCCACAAATACATTTATAATATATTTAAAATTCGTTAATTGTTGTTTGGTTGGCCCTAATCCGTTTTTATTTGTTGTTTTGCTTTGTTTGCTTCGGGAAACAATGTAAGTTGGAGTGTGTGTGTGTTTGTGTGTGTCTGTGTGTATGTGCGGCAACGAAAAAAATGACCGATTTTAGTAGTGATAAACTACCACAGATAGAGAGAGATAGAGAGCGAGAGAAAGAGAAAGGAAGAAGAGTAAGATGATAAAGAAGAGAGGAGAGTTCAGATAGTGACAAACTAACGATAGTGAATCAATCGATTATTCTCACGAAATAATCGATTTTCCTTTTTGAAGTGCATGAAACCAATGCATGTGGACCAACATTATGTTGGCGGCTAAATTCTAAAATGTTATTGATTTTTTTCTTTCCACTGTGGCTCATAAAATCTAAAGTATCTCAATTTCAATAAATTAAGCTAATCCCTAGATGTTCCTTTCGAATAGATTCCTGCATTTTTTTCGTGCACACAGCCGCTAGAGTTGTGTGTGTTTGTGTGTGTGACAATGTTCGCCACATTTTTATGTTCGAATCGTGTGAAAAGACCGAAAGGATTTGACAGAATAACTTAAAAAGTGTGATATTTCTAGTAGAGATTGTCTACAAGGCATCTATGTCATTCGGATCTAAAATTTGTGCTTTGAATTCATTTCTATGCAGTGCTAAATGGTTTGAGTGGATAATGCAAGGAAAAGTTGTTTTTTTTCTGAATGTTTCAATTGAAATTCCGTACAAGAATCGATACAACGGCTGGCGTAAAGAATTTTTTAACATTTTAGAATATGTACGTTTAACATTTTAGAGACATGAGATATTAGTTTTGAGTAATGCTTTCATGGGAATGGTACAATGAACCTCCATTTCCTTTTCTTTCATTATTTCCGTTTGATTGCGGACTTTTCGATATCAAATCGGCCGTGGCGTTTCACATGAAGCATAATTGCTCCGCTTAAGGTTTTTTTTTTGTGTGTGTGGAACATCAAGAGCTGAGACTGTTGCGATGGAAACTGCTACTTGAACCTACCGCTACGTTAAATTCTGGTTCATTCAGACGTAGGCAAAGGATTTGAATATTTACCCTCATCTAAAAAAATTCAAGATTGCCCACGTCTGGACGCATACTACCAGTATAATAACTGCTCTGGATTGGACTCAGTAAGTCATATAAGCTACAAAAAAAATGAAGGGGTTCATTGTAGCCACTAAGAAATACTTGATCATCTATGGAACCATTACTAGAATTATCTTAAGTAGGTTAGTCACCAAAACATCATCAGATCATCCGTTTTCATCCAAATCTCTACCTCTATCATGCTCTACAAATATTATCCGAGTGTAATCATTTGCTCAAGCAACAAAAAAACAGCACATATCTTATGACATGAGCTCAAAATATTCTGTACAGGCACTAAACAATGAGTTTTTGGTAAATTTCTCGAATTTTGAACTGTTTAGGCGAAAATATTTGGATTCTATTGGATCCAAAGTGTGGTGAGCATTTTGGAAATTTTAAGATTTTGTATGTTCTTGTCTATTCGGCACGTCAATAATATTGTAGGTATGTCACGAGAAGTGTCAGATCGAAAATGGATACCCTGGATGATATAGACGATTAATAAAATAACCAGTAAAAGAAGATTAACCCTCTAATGCATACAACCGCCTCTAGACGGGCAACATTTGAACGCCTGTAGAACATAAACCGTACATCGGATCACATTGCTTCAAAAGAATTTTTATTCGTCAATGTTCTCTCCTTATTTTTTGTCTTTGGCAATATTTGTCTATGCAGTGTGATTGTAAAGTTATAAACAAAAATGTGTGCAAAAACAAAAATTTGACTAAATAAATTATTCGAACTCGAAATTAGACACATTTTTGACACTTTTAAACAATGGATTTGATTGTTCTCTGATTTATGTCAATCGCATTTTCTGACTTAACCATGAGGAATCCAGGATTATGAATATTTTTTTAATTATCTATGGCCAAAAATCAACCAAGTACCAGTACTGGGAGTACTGGGAAAAATTAATGCATTAGAGGGTTAAGGGATGTTTTTACATCCTAATCATTTCAAAATTGTGTATCCCATTTGGAAACAAAAAAAACCATATTCAACAAAAACGGTTCGTTAGCAAAACCAAATTATGTTACAAACAAAAACTAAGAAGGAAAAACAAATTTGTCCGATGGACATATACAAAGCAAAAAGTAACATAATTAAAGTGC